CAAATTTATAATATAAAACAGGTTAGACTTCAATAAGTCTATGCGACGATCTCAAATAGACTCATTTAACGGTTATCTAAATCTCTCTAAAAAATATTTACATTGTACTGTGTCTTCAGATCAAAACTTATAACACCCACAAATCAAAACTTACTAAATCTTGAAAAGATTGAAACATAATGGCTACCACATGACCATCTTAGTATTTTCAGTCACCTTACCTAAATAAAGATGGGCCTTTGAATGCCATTGCTAAAAATTTGAATTTATTTATTTTCCACCTCGAGAAAAGAAAACCTACACTGAAACAAATCACTATCAACTCAATTAGGAACCTGATCAAATTTGGTGCGGAATTGACTTATTCCCAACAATCGTCTCACTTGATTGGTGGTGATCTGGCCTAACTGCCTATATGGTTTTCCTTCGGGCATAGTTTGATCAAATGCAATTTTTTTTTTGTTGAATCCATTTGAAGATCTCACATTGCAGGGCATTTGTCCCAGATTCATCTTGATACCTTAAGCAAAAGTTTTTTTTTTTTTTTAATATTACATCGAACACAATTCTGACAATGAAATTCACTTACTTTTCGAGAAAAAAAGAATTGACCAATTTGATGATTGTGCTATGTTACACAAATATTATGTATGTGCAGATATAATATAAAACCAATAAAACTTTTATCTTTTAGCAAAGGGTCCATCAACCGACCCCAAGTATTGAAGCTATGAAGCTTTTTCTTTTCTTTTTCTTCCCTTGAATTTTCTTTATCTTTAAAGTGAATAAAATAATAGTTCTTTAACTTGATTCTGCGAACAAACTTGATGATATTCTTAACACAATTGAGTAGTGATATGAATATAAAGTGCACTGAACACCTAGATGTAGTTCAGTCTGAGCTCCAAGCTCAAGGGAATAGATGAGTGATTACATAGAGTGTTTATAATGGTTTACCAGCTCGGGAGCTTGACTAATCCATTCTTAAGGAAGTCTTTTGCTCCTGAATGTATTGATTAATGAAAAGTTTACAGAAAACGTTTTCTGTGAGGCTACAATGGCTTGTTGTCATTTTTGAGGGTTTTGCCCCCTATTTTTAGTTACAATGGGCCTTAGCTTGATCTGAGGTGAGATCCTCACCCCTTCCTTGTAATGGTCGCTTTCATTGCGCAACGGTTGTAGCAAATGTTGAGGCGCTTACGAGACTTGCACCTGTTGAGTAACTGTTACTTCAAAAAAAGGATACTTTGTGGAATCAAGTTGTCCTTTGCACAACCTTCCTTGAGATGTGGGCACAGTGAGTTGAGGTCTGTGGTCGAGGTCACAATACTATAAACTGACATCATTGTAGATCATAAAATACAAATGCTAAAAGCAAAAGCAAAAATAGAAACAAGACAAAACTAGTATCTAGAACATCATTCTTAGAATACTAAAATAGTGTGAAAATTTCTCACAATGTACTTGTATGATAGTCCAAACCAAATTATGTGACTAATTAGTATATGAGCAATATAATTTGAGAATTTAATGATGTGGTTTTAATGTAATTATTGGATCAATTGAACCAATGATTGTATTTAATTAGATCCTTAGATTAAGTTCCAAATTAGGTCAAAATTGCATTTTTCTTATTATATTTCTTTTGTCAAATGGACCTTGTAAATTGCTCCCTATAGGTTTTTTTGGTTGATAAAAAAAAGGTAGCAATTTTACTCAATATGAATCGCCCAAACAAGCAATTTAACATATTGTTAAAATGTTTATCTTTAAACCACTATATGTAAACAACCTTTGTCATTCTCTATACAGGACGATGAATTAAAAAGAGAATACCATATTCTTTAAAAAAAATGGACCCTATGTGGTTAACTATTCATGCACCACGATCTTTACAGGCCATACATCCAAGCTTTGCCACTTGCACTCTATCCGATAAAAAAACCCACAATTTCTAATCAATATGAAAGAGGAAAGCAAAGGGGATATCATGATGAAGAGCAAAAAGGAAGATCAATGGAGGCCACGGGGCTGTGTTTGTGCTGTCAGCACTAGAGGGGATGATGGGGACACCATTGAGTCATCTAAGCAATCAAATTGGCCTAAAACAAAAAAGTGGACCACATTATGGGTCTTACTGGAGGTTTGAGATTTCATTCTCTAGGGTTCACATCCAAACCTAAAGTTTCAAGGTATCAGTGGCGTGGCAGTTGTGTTGGTTACTTGTCACATTTGATTCAAAGATCATAACTTAAACTCAACCTAATTTCTCATAATCTATTTTTTTACTTTTCTCTCTCTCTCAGCAGTGCCACCCCATTGATCCTATATTGCACTTTTGATCTACCATTCCCAAAATTTTGAACCTTATGCCATCAAGCTCAACAAAGTTATAGGGCCGTATAGCATCATGTTAATTTGGTTGACATCTCCATTTTTTTTTCCTTTGATCAGTTAAAGTGAGCTGAGTTGAGTTTAAATTGACCTTAACCTAGGCATTTTTTGGATTAGATTGTATAAGTGAGAAGAAGTTGGATTTTTCACAAACTTAATCAAAACATTTACATGAAAGTTCAAATAATTACCAATCAGTTCCCATTAACTTACTTTCATGAATTTTTCATGAATTTTATTTTGGCAACGTTTTCATGAGATTTTGTTAATGAAGGGCACGTCGTTCAACACTGTGACATAGATTAGCTATTGTATCAGTTTTGGGGTTTTCTTCAGGGTAAGTAAACTATATTTGCATTTTGAACCACCCTACTATCTCATAGTGCTCCTTCATTTGACACTAGTTAGTATTCTAGGGTTTTGTATTTTTCCATGAATTCCAATCCTAATCTTTCTACCAGAACTCCTAAACGCCCTGATATTGCTAAATATTTCACTTCTTTATTCAAAAAACCTAAAAATGCCATACAAAGTCATAAGTTAACAACAGATTCATCTCTTTTAATTGAAAAGAAGAACCAGATGCCATGTGGAGGAACAAATTTAGGCTTATCTATTCAATAACAACAAAGAAGTGAAGGACCACCAAGGAATGTCAAGAAATTTGTTTTCAATAATGGAGACCCAGGGATGTATTGGTCACCAGAAGAAACACAAAATTTATCCAAGGAGTTCAATCAAACTTTGATTGGCAAGTGTGCCTATAGAAAGCCTTCAATTGGGGTTATTCGGGACTACTAGATATTTTGGATCCTAGATATATCCTTATTCGATTCGAATTGCATGAGGATTATTTAAAGTCATGGTTGAAGGATGCAACTTATATAGAAGGATTCTTGTTTAGATTTTTCAAGTGGTTTCCAAAATTCTTTCCAGGGGTAGAGCTTCCAATTGTTCTGGTTTGGATTTCTCTACCAGGTCTTCCTATTCACTTATTCAAACCAGAGTGTTTAAGGGATATCCTAAGTCCCATTGGTTAGAAATAATGGCCCAAGCCCAGTCAATAACATTTCGGGGATTTTAGTGAGTTTAGTTGAGTAAGAGGTTAGTCTATGAAGAATAAAAGAGAACAAAGTGTAAGTGGTGTGCCTTAGCCAAGGGATTAAGGCTACGTCTACTGTAATGGAGTCTCTTGCTCTTTTAGATTGTATATTACTCAATCTTTGATGAATACAACGGTGTTACCAACATTACAGGGGATAAGTTTTCTACCCTAATTGCTATGTTGTTAAGTCGAGAGTGTAATGGGGAAGATCCTCTCTCATTAGGGCAACAGTGATCTATTTATACCAACGCTTTTCTCTAGGGTTTCCCACGGCTCCTCCTTCCTGCCTTACTGATTCAGTGGGTCTTTCTGTCGTGTCCTGTAGCAATCTTTGTCATTCAGCCCCTCTGTTCTCACGATATCTGGATGGTTATGCGCACCAACACCTTCTGCTTTAGAAGGTGCGTGATTGGGTGTCAGGAGTGGTCCTTATTTCTCCAGGTTACGTGGCGCAACGGGAGTGTTCCAAGGAAGGTATTGGACTAGGCTTTCATATTTCGGGCTATCCTTTGGCTAGATCAGATCAGGATGGGGTTGGGCCTTGGTTCTTCTGGTGGTGTTAGGCTTTACTCTTAGGATGTGGTCCAGTTTGCCCCACGCATTGCTAGGTTGTGGATGCCCCTATACGGGCCACTACGCAAGCAAGGCTTTTATGAGCTTATCGGGTTGTTTGATAATAGCGACCCATACTTAGGATTCCATCCTTTTCAATAGGATTTTGGTTATTGATATACCAACTTTGTCATTGTCAAGGCCAGGAGTTGCTAGGGCTTGTGTAAGTTAACTTGCTAGTGGATAACCCCAAAAAGATTTGGTTGGATATGGGTAGAATGAGTGGATGGTACAAAATTATGTATGAAAAAAGAAAAGAAGTACTTCACTCGATGTTTGAAGTAAGGTCATGTGGTGGATGGATGCAGAAAATTGAGGAAGGATGAGGATTTGGTTGAACAGGATGGTTCTGCTAGAATAGCATAAAGAGAATCTTGGAAAGGTTAGTCAAAAATCTTTTAGGAGTGAAGATACAGTAAAAAGGGTTCTATAAATCAGCAACAAGTGGGCCAGAAGAAGGAATTTAACCAGAAAGGAATTAAAATAGTTGAAAACCAAGAAAACAAAACAAATATTCGGAGATACAGCAGAAAAGTAGAGCATTGAATGTGGTGTTGCGCGAAGGGGATCACTTAGGGAAAGGATAATACAAGTAAGGATTCTGTTCTTTTGGATCCAACTAATGGTCCACAAATTCAGCCTATTATTTCAGAAGACTATAATGTGTTAGAAAAGGTTTGGAGGATTTTGTGTCTAGTGGGAAGTAGAATTTAATTACAGATCAAGAACCTACGGAAAGGCCACCAAATAAACAAAGCAGAGGATTAGACTAATCAAATGTTTTTTTGTAGAAAATGGCAAGGATAATTCAGAAAGTCTAGAAGTCTTGGAAAGGAGATAGAATGAGGGAGGTTCGAGTAGTTATCAGTCTTTGAATAATGTTACAGGGATGGAGGTGTTTCAGTCAGTGGAAGAGGCAGAAGGAGGATCAGATTCACTAGTATCCTTGGATGAACACGTGAAGCCGGATTGTTGTGTTTCTGATTCTACTTTCCTAATTGATCGCCAATACACTACAAGGAAAGAGGGGGAAGGTGTAGTGGATGATGAAAGAGGGTTAGTATATGCAAGTGAATCCGCATATCAAGGTTACCATTCAGATGCAGATCTGTCGATAAATTTAGAGGTGCTACTAGATATTCAGTCTATTTACTCTAAATTGGGAAATCACTCTATCCTTGGTGTGATTGTCCTTATGATGCTACGACTACTGGTATGGTGACTAGATCAAAATCTAGAGGTAAGTCCAATACTTCTTATTAGTTTATTCTAATGGTGGATATTCATTATTATTATTTTTTATTATTCTCATCATGTCGCACCTCACCAAACTTGACATTGTCGTTTTTGACATTTTGGGCAACACCTATCTTTCTTGGATTCTTGAGCCCGAGATCCACTTGACAGCTTTAAATCTTAGTGATACTATCAAAGAAGAAGATGATGCATCCCTGTAGAATTGTGCAAAGACAATGATATTCATTTGTCATCACCTTCACGAGGAATTGAAAACCGAGTATCTCACTGAAAAGGATCCACTTGGCCTTTGTGGAGAAGTAATTACTGATAAAAACATGTTAGAAAAACCATACATCACCTTCCATGCCTCTAATGTGCTCCTACAACAATAATATAGAGAGAGCATAGGATCACTAAATACTTTGACCTGATATCATGTCTCTTGCGGTTGAACAAAGTAATGAGCTTTTGATGAAAAACCGTGAATCTCGCTCCACTGCTTCTATAGCGTTCCCTGAAGTGAATGCCACCTTGCTTGAATCCGAACATGGTACACTTAAGTGCAGGTGGTAAAGCTGTAGTAGTACCTCGGTGTAGTCCGAGGTGTGGATGGACATGATGAACTAACGGACCCTACTAACTATTTGAAAAGAGTAGTTTTCCAAGTAGCTCATTGCGAAGGCGAATTCTCCTTTTTGGCTTCTATATCCTTCAGTCCTCAGCAACGGCGCAAAAAACTTGCTTAAATCTAAATGTGGTACAACCAAGTGCAAGTGGCAAAGCTGTAGTAATAACTCAGTGTAGACCGAGGTCGATCTTCAGGGATGAATAGATGACAAAAAGGTATTTAAAAAAAAAAAAAAAAGAACAGTGTGTAGATTGTTTGAAGTAAGAAATTGTTGTAAATTAAAGGAATTTCTTATTGGGCAAAACAACTCTTTAGTTTTGGGATTGGGAATTCTTCATTTATACCAAATATTATACCTATGCAATTATATTTTATCTCGATTGACTTCCAACGTCAATGTAATCAACTGGAGTATATAACTTTAAAAATTATGAGTTGATTGATATGAAAATAAGAATTTAAAAACTAGTATTGTCAATTTGCAGAGAATTATATGAATTACTCATACCAAAAAATCAATCAAGTTAATAAGTAATCAAATAAGTATACAGAGAACAATACATTACTAGATATTATTCATTCTATCTTAGAACAATAAAAGATAAATAATTTAAAATAATAAAAAATATTTGCATAAATAATAATATTCGATGTACAATTCCAAAACCCTACCCTAACTAAAGAGTAAAGAGAAGATTACTCACAAGACATGGCTATTCTTCTCGAAAGCTGGAAACATAAAACGAAGGACGAGGTAGGGAACAATAACCCTCTTCTCAATATTTATAATGAGAGGATGCACACGGTATTTTTGGATTTATTTTACACTTAAACTCCTACTAGGGTAAGACGTATGCGGCGGAAGTCAGAATGTGTGTTCAAACAGATGTTCGCCATCCAAATAGCTCAAAGGCTCTGTCTAACACATGCAAAGTGCATTTGAACGAACTCCTCGTATCGTCAAATAAGCGTATGAACGGACAAGTTGCGTTCGAACGGTCTTTTCGTGTCATTAAAGGAGCATCAGAACATAGATTCACAATCCGAACGGTCTTGATTCTATGGATTTCTTCGTCCTTCTTCATGGCCAACTTGCGTCCAAACGGCCAGCACGCGTTCGAATGGTGTTCTCGTCTCCGTAATTCTTATGTCCTCAACAAGTCAACTTAGTCATTTGCTTTCCAATCATTGCGTCCGAACGGCGAAGCCACGTCCGAACAGACCTATTTATCTAAAAATCCTTGATCCACGTTTCAACTTCTCCAGAGTTGATGTTGACTTCATCCTTATTTCAACATTATCCTCACCGAATCAATCTTCTTAACTACATTTTAGTCCCCTTGAGTTCGCTTTAATCTCCAATCAACTGGTCAATTTATCAAGTGCACCAATTTAGCTCATTTTACCTGTTTTATCTAATAAATTGATCAAACACTAAAAATCAAGTCCAAACATAATATCAAGGGATAATTCATCTAATGTCTCAGAAATAATGCTATTTGTCATAAATAACAGATAAATAAATGGTACTTTTGATGATGAATCACAACTTATACCATGGTTGTGGTAATAAACATGGGCACGGTTGAAATGGTATTCGACACTGTGGTCATAATAACACATCTCACCACCAAAAGTGGGCAAACAAAGAGGCAAAACAAGACAAAGGGAAGGGTTTGCTAAGTAAACAGTCCAAGAACTATGAAGAAGTTTGTTATAAGTGTGGTATGAAAGGACATTGGTGAACCCCAACAAAAAAGGAAAGGACAATGATGACGCACATATCGTACGTCCAAACATTTGGTGCACCTTTACTAGGAATCAATAAAGGAAAGAAAATAAGATAGAGATAAATTTCATTGATCATTGTGAGCCAGTGGACTTTACTTGTCTAGATGATGTTCATCCAATTGACATACCTCATGTAACGACCCGTCCTAACTATTAAGATATTGTTTGTTTTGGATGCCAATACACCCTCACGGTTTTATTCCTTTGGGGCTTTGCCCTACAAAATGTCACTTAACAATTAAGGGTAAGCAGACCACATATATAATCCAGTCACTCCCCCTTCTGAGTCGATATAGGATGCAACACATGAAGTTATAACACGTTCTCGCCTTGTAAAGCCTTTTAGCAGGCTACGACACTCCATGTAAAACCCAAGAAAATTTGAATTTTTATGAAGAAAGACAAAATGGTACTTAGTTGCTACAGTACGGGTTAAAAATCTAATTTTTTCTAGAATTTAGATGAAGAAATAGACCCCACCGTTGTATTTTTATTACAAAATCTAGTTGTCTAATCAACTTCCGTTGAATCTCGAGACAGACAATTTTTTTTGTGGTTTACGATGCAATCGAGTATCGCATGACCAAAATAAATGCGATCTGGAGTTAATTGAGAAACATGAAAAATAATTGAAAGTTAGTTTAAATAAAATATTTTGAAAATAACATAGAATGAGATTTAATTAATTCGGGAAAAAATCGAATTAGGAAAAGACGAGACGTGTGGCGCGTTGTGGTATACTAGGGGTATAAAAAGGGAGAAAAATAGTATTTTGTCCCCATTTTGGTAGCTGATTTTTGATAGAGAGAGAAAAAAAAAAGAGAGGAAAATTCAAGGGTTCTCCCTCATTCTCCTTGCTATCTAGGGTCAACCGTTCGTTAAAACGCTTTGGGTCAAGAACTAAAGTTGATATACACGACGAGAGCTACGTCTATGTACCAAAAATCGCAGATTTAATCGAAGTCTGAAGATCAAGATTTTTAAAATCAAGGTTTGAAGCTTGATTTGGGCTTTTTGGGAGTTTCTACCACTCGTATTACTCTTCAAGAGGTAGGGTTCTTCTCTTAGTTAGGTTTATTTTCAACCTAGGGTTGCGTATGAAATTGTTAGTTTAAATAGAGATGAATTCTCTTATTTTATGTACTGCTAGTGTACCTAGAGTATGACAAATGGATATAAAAATGTGTTGCATGAATTAGGTTTGTGAAAATTGCTTATTTGATAATTTCATGAGAAATGTGACAAATTGGGCAATGATTATGTGTCATATGATTTTTTGCCTTATAGGTGTTTTATAAAATGCCTTGAATGGAAAGAGCATGTTATTTGAATAAAATTGATAAAAAATGCTTTGATGATGTTGTAAATTGTAATTATATACTTATGATATAATTAACAATTGAGAATGTTGTTTGAGATAAAATATTATTCATAATATACTCATGACATATTAAACATGATATGGAATTTGCAATTGTACATTACAATTTTATATGCATAAGACGCATTACATTCGTGGGCATGTGACATAAGTGTGGGTATGTGCATGGTTTTGATCAAACTTCATTCTTGGTGGATGATACATGGACTCAAAAAAGTTGGATCAAGGTTTGACTGAGTCACATGGGTTGCATGAAAAATGGGGTCGGGGTAGCAAAAAGGGCTAGATTATCCCTCGGGTGCAAGACTCGATGATTTGGATATGCACTCTATTGGTATTGAGTCCATAAAGTGTGTCGGTGTACGTGGAACCATTGGTGGAAGTCCATAGATGTCATGTCAATTGGGTAACCGTTGGTGAAAGTCTATAAATATCCACCCCAAAAAAAACCTGAAATTTATAAATGGTCATTGGATGTGTAACATCAATGGTGGAGGCGTGGAATACCTAAATACATATGCATGACATTGCATGTGTTGTGGGAGCCGGTGGAGGGCTCAGGCTATGTTACATATGTAAGTCTCATCTCATAACATGACATAACATTGTGACATTCATTCTTGAAGTTGTATGTTCTTGGAAGAATGTTTGTTTGATTGTTGAATTGACAATGAGCATTTCATATGCATCTAGGTTAGGGAGTAGCCTCTTTAAGAGATACCCTATTGAGCGTGACTCACCCTTTATGAGGATAACATTTCAGGTGCGGGACAAGCATCGGTGGACAGCTCTCACTTGGGCCCTCGTTGATGAAGGAAGCCGAGTTGTGGCTTTAAGTTACATTTTTGGGTAAATGTTGTGGCTTTAAATTACATTTTTTGGGTAAAATTAAATGTTATATATATGTTTGGGTGAATGTTGTATGAGATTCGGTGAGTTGAAATGGGAAAAGGAATGAATTAGGGAAAATTTGGGCCCTACTACCGGTAACATGTTGATTTTCTACCGGCAACACGATTCTAGTGGGCTCAGCTACCGGTAGCTCATTGGTGGTGGACAACTACTGTTAGCTCGGTTCACAGCTACT